TGATGATTTCAGGATCAAAATTTAACTGGCGATGAACATGCAGAAGTGGGAGCTTTCCGATTTACAGGTTATCTCACTAGCCTTTGATGAAACAACCCTGCCATACCACTCAACTCCCTTCCTCAGCCTCCTGTCTGCATTTCTGCATTCTCTGTATTTTCCCTATACTCTCTCCATCATCAGACACACCCTCTTTAGCCACCTCAGCCCTGCATCCACTTCTCTCCACAGGTCTGCTCCTATTTCTATCAGTACAAATCTATGTTATGCATTATTTTCATGCTTTATACTTCCTCACTGCTATCCCCTTGCAGCTGTTGCAAGTGTTCTGCCTTGGTCCCGCGGCACCCCAGGCACTCCCCTGCATACGCCACCGTTCTTCCATTCCTCTTCCCTACCCACCCCCCCGACTCTCTCGTCCACCTTCCAATCTCCCCCAGTTTCTCCCATTTTCCCAAAGCAGGCTGTTTTTATTATAACCAAAAAAAAAAAAAAAGTGAGACATTTCAACTACTTTTCTAGGGATGGTCTTTATCTCCCCATCCAAAGTCTTCTGCTTTGCATACTAGCAACAGACCTATGCGAAGGTCAAGGCTATTCTGGAGCAGGAGTTTTGACATCCATGTTCTGAGAGTTTGTGAAATTTAAAAAGCATCAATCACAGGACTTGCGATACAGGTGAGAATAAGGCACTGGCCCATGAAGAGTCCCTGAAGTAATATAATTACGAGCGACTGTCAACATCCCACTCTCACAACTCTGAAGAAAAATTCTAATAAGTGAAATACGAATAGATAATATTATATTGGTCTGAGTAGAGAGACAGACTAGAATGGTTGTTAAGAGAAGACAGAATTGCCTGGGGCATCTCTCTGCCACGGTAACTCCAGCACCCACCGACGGGCTGCCCAGCAGCCACCCCGCAGCACGCTGTACGGAGATCGTACCCCAGGCCTCGTAAATACATCCTCGCATCTTTCCCTGGGGAAAAGGACAAGGGAGCGTTTTTGCTGTCTTTGCAAAGCACAAGGATCTTTTCTACTCCTTGACACCATCCCACTGAGAGGGACAGGGTTTTCTGCTACCCCGAGCAGTGAAATACAAAGGCAGTGCCACAGATTTCCTAAACGTCATCCTGTTTCCAGTACAATCGTGCAAGTTGGCAGCGTTACCTTCACTTCCTTCCTTCCTGCACACTCGTTCCCATGTCTCAAGAGCTGTTAATCATGCCCAATGTAAGCAAAAAATGCAAGTACTATGCAAAAAAAAGGGTTCTTTTTTGGCAAAACAATTCATAGAATCACTTCCAAGGATTAATACACCCGTAATACAGTAATACATACAAGCTACCCAAAGTTAGAGTAGCATTTACAAAAAAAATCCAGGTTGTTTCTGGATAACAACGCCAATAGTTTTCTTGGCGAAATTGCTCAGACCCCTCTCAAGATTCAATCATTAAACTCAAGAAGGGGTATCTATATCCATGCCCCCATCCTGCTCCATTCTCACAGGCTACTGACACTAAGAAACAATGCAGTGATGTCTCATCTTCACCTTTTAGTATTTAAAAAATATATTCTCTCAAGATTAGCCTTATGAGACACTATACTCTGCAACAGTTGTAAACACACCAATCAACCAAATTAAACCGAATTGAAAAAATGCAATTCTGTAGAAAAAGCTGGAAGAAGGGTATGAGATCATATTCTCAGACACTGGAGAAAAATCAGCATTTGTGGCATTCTAGGATTATATTTACAGTATTATTTTTGCTAATGAAGTGGCATTTCACTGGACTGCTTTAAGCTTGGAAGACAGTGCTAGCATCACAGACAACAATAAGGCTGTTTTTCCATACTTTATGTTATGTAAAATATCTCATTTTTTATTGTGTGCCTGGAACGTAGATTGCATATTATTTAATCTGAGCTAAACTCCTGAATTAAAACAGGAGAGAAAGATGTTTCTCTATGCTTAATATTAAGCAAATGTTCCTTCATCAAAGGGTTTCATCCTGTCTGTCTGTGCTCCTCTCATAGGATTCACTCAAATCACAAAGAATTGACATTGCTGAACATCCCCCTGGATTTGCCCGGTGCCCCTAGATTTCATCATCTGTATGCTTTTGTCTTTTTTAGCGCAAATGCACTTGACACCTCTGCTGTACGGGGCAATTCCTATGCACCATTACACCGATGGAAATCTGTGTACAACGTTCATTCCTCACTGCACCCATGCTACACATTATCATGCTTCTTCCTAATAGGATTTCAGTTACTGCCTGTTTGACAAAATCCGTAGTTGCGTATCACATTGCAGATAATAATCTGGACTCAAAGTGAAATATACACTCAAAGAAGAGCCTTGCCTACCATAATAAATTGAGATAATAAATATGAAAAGAAAATCAGTTAATACAAAGAGTTTGCTGCTACAAAGCAAACACTATCTGAGCAGTATCCCATTTTGGGTAACAATGCAAATTTCACAACTGATACAGTTTAGGGCCGGCTTACCATACTGTATTCACAGAAAGATTATAACAGTCTAAAAGAGACTGTTTTAAGTGTGTTAGAATGCTACCACATCTTACTCAGTTTTCTTATTGCGATATGAAACAGCAACAGTATGCATATACAGTGCTGCCCACCTATGTTTCTGCTTCGTTAAATACAAATGGCATATTTACATGGTGATTCTTCCGAGCTTCAAAAAATAGAGGTGGAGATTTTCCACAAAATAGCCTGGAAGTGTTTTATTACACTTAAAGATCACACATATGTGAAAACTGGGGACTGGGGTTCTGTTTCCATAGGATCATATGATAATTCAGGTGGGAAGAGACCTCAAGATGTTTCTAGCCAACATCCTGCTCAATGCAGGGTCAGCTACAAAAGCAGACCAGGTTGCTCAGGGCTTTCTCCAATCTGGTCTTGAAAACCTCCAAAGATGAAGACTCGACGCAACCCCTCTGGACAGCCTGTCCTGCTGCTAGCGTGTCCTTGTAGAGAGAAAGTTTTTCCTAATACCCAGTCCGAATCTCCCTTGTTTCAACTTAGTCTGTTGCCTCTCGCCCCCGTCATGCACAATTGTGAACAGCCAGGCTCCAGCTCCTCAGTAACCTCCCTGTAGGCCCTGCCAGGCTGCAGTTAGGTTCCCCCAAAGCTGCCTCTTCTGCAGGCTGAAAAAGCCCAGCTCCCTCAGAACTTTCCTCGCCGGACAAGCGAGCTGGAAGGCTGCCTCAAACCCAGAAGTGATCATTACATTTTCTTAAGAATTCATGGCCAAAAAGATTATCCAATGTAAATGCATTTCAAATGGCACTTTACACTGCTTGCATGTCAGCTGCCTTTACAAAATTAAGTTTGGCAGCATTGTCAGTGCCTCCTTGTACTGGAGGATATGATTCGATAGGCTACATTCAGTTATTTTGACAGATTCTGCTTCTTCCATCACAGAATGGAGAGAAACCCCACCAAGTTAGTTTCTCATCTTTTGTACCGGGCTCTGCTCTTAAAAGACACGTATTCTATACATTGTGTACAAATCACGATAAGAAAAAAAACCTCTGCGGTTGTTTCCTACTGCCCTACTAACGTGGCGTTGCTCACGGCAGCTATCACGATTATCTCCATCATAACTGTTTAAAAACAAGTGTGCTTTTCCCATAACTAATCAGTTCTAGAGTGGCTGAATCATTAAGAATTCACAGTCCCTGCAAAATCTGTGATAAGTGTAACTGTATAAAAGAAAAAATACCTGGGAACAAACAAACATAGGGAATAAGTAATAAGAGAAAGGTCTACAACGAAAGTCAGACTATAGTAAAGAAAAAAACGTGGCGGGAGGAATTCACCAAACTTGCATGAATGCCTATGTCTGTGCTAGTCACTCTATACTCCCTTTAAAGCAAGTGAATACCCCACCAGTGGAGCCTAAGATATGATTCTTTTTCCCTAAAGTAGACATCCAAAACAGATCATACATTCAACATCTTAAAAGTGGCTGTTGATATTCACTGACCATGCAGAGTGCCTAGGGAAACTAGCTCAGATGAAGATGTCTGCCACGTGGCCACTTATATTTAGGTGAGGTGAGTCCCACCCTTTGCAACAGCAAAAGCTTTTATAGAGATACAGAAATATATAATTAGACCTTATGTGCATTCAAGCTTACAGTTTTTCCTGCACTTTCAGACACGAAAACGGTGGTTTATATCTGAGGCAGGCAGATTCCTCCATTGTTACTTGGGCTAGATCTTCACAATCAGTTTAGGCTTTCAGATCTGAGAATTCTATCCCCTGAAAAGGAAAATCTGATACAGGACCATCCTCCTGACCTGACCGAGAATGCTTTATTCCCTTGCCAGTAAAGTAAAGAGCAAAGTGGAAGAGATGACGGTAGTATCAGTAGGCTGCCTTCCCCTGTTGCCCAGTCAATTTTGAACCTCTATCTATAGAAATTTGTGACAGAGTCAAATATAATCTCTGACTGATTTAGTGCTGCGTTGGAGGTAAGGCTTTTCACTCTTGAAAAAGTGAAAGAAGTTTTGAAATTCCACTCTTCAGAGTATCTGAAGAATATCTGAACTATGAATTCTTCAAGTAACAGTGGTTTGGTTCTGTAAAAAAAAATATATATATATATGTTCAGTAAGCCAAAAAAAGTAAGACAGTATGAACAAATTTCCAGTTGTGGCTAAGACTCACATTTGGTTTCCAGGTTTCATGATTCTTTTTTCAATACAAATTCTAAAGCTGTCAGCAAAAAATAATAAAAAAAAAAAATTGAGAACTTTTATCTGGTGAGTCCAGCACTTTGCTAACGGAGGAAGGTGAGGGTTCAAATACCTTAGACAGATAAAGGTTCTTCATAAACTCTTAGTATTTTAGTATTTAGTATTTCATATCCCAAACTACTGTATGGAGAAAAAGGGGTAGAGCATACTACTCTGAGTAGTTTTATGAATCTGTCTCCTACTTTTAAAAAAGTTTTTTGAGCATTTTGAGCATTATTTGTTATAAACACAGCATAAATAATGTCAACTCTTACAATGATTGCATATTGACAATTCCGCTTCCAGCATCATAGTAGTATTATTACAAATTACTACAAATAACTTAAAATGAGTAAAGCACTTTAATTCCTTGGGGGTGGGCAGAGGGAGGTGAGACGGGCTGCTTGCGTTTCTGGAAAAGTGAACAAAGACCTAAGAAAAGCTGCAAAGATAAGGCAAAGTTTTTGACCCATAGTGTATTTTTTTTCTGTATATCCAAACTGATTGTAAGTTTACTAGTTCCATTTTCAAAAAATAATGGACATGAAGATTAAGAAGGGAGATTTAAGCAGCTTAAAATATAAATGTTCCATATCATACTAATTATTAGCTATCCTGACTTACAATTATTGAGCAGAGCTCTTCCCAGAAAGCAGGCAAAGGCTGCTAGAAAAGTAATAGAAACTCACTGTGCTAGACAGCAGGAGACAGTGTTTTCTCATTATATTCCAGCTTTCCTTAGAGGGACAAGTTCATTTGCAGGTATTAATATCTGAAGGTCTCTGCTCTGGACTAGGGTTGTTTCTGTAGGGTTAGACTAGAAGAACTTTGCAAAGAGCTTGAATATGTCTCTGTGGTATCAGAGGCCAATTACTATTTTGTAGAAAAGCAGAAAACACAGGAGCAAAGATCAGTCTTCTTGACACAACCATGACAATGGATGGGTCTCAGACCATCTGGAAATGCAACAGACTAATTTTTCTTTACAGCTGTAAAATGGCTCATTAAAAAAAAAAAAAAAAGGTCCATGTCCCCTGCTGTTGGGATCACTAATAACGTGGTTCAAAGGTTTGACCCTGCAAGATAGATGTGAAGCACTACGAACTCAGTGACAATTACTCACATGCTCAGGGGTAACCATTTTACTCAAGTGTATTTAGCAACAGTTAGGTTCAGTTCTTAAACTCAGCATGTCGATTCGTGAAGTCCTTCCTTTTTCTTAACTGATGAAAACAACATTCTTGCTCCAGTTTTGAGGGAGGAAGCTTTAGAGGGATACCAACAATGTTTTAAAGCTGGTGGTTTTGTGAGGTTTTGAAAATACACTATTTTGCAAGAAGTATTTTGTGTTTTTCTATTTCCCTTTCTTCATTCCTTATTTTTCTACTTTTTTTTCCAAATACTGAAAACAAAAGAGAGGAGCACTCACAACCTAGACTTGCTGGCTGGCAAAAAAATCACTGTGATCATCCAAATTGGAATTCCCTGGGCCACGGATAGCATGGGTTACAAATTATTTATTTAAATAGTTGTAGAACTGCACACTAAGACACCGGTAAAGCTTCCCCCTTTCAGAGACAAAAAATGTAGTTTGCATTACAAACATCTGCTCCATTGAGACTTAGGTCTTTTATTTGATAGGATACAAAACACAGTAATATTTCAAATAGGATCAGTAGCAACTTTGATGCTGTGACCTTACCGCAGAAGTGAGACGAGCAAGAATTTCAGCATTGGTTTCTGCTGTATCTTCTATTTTTTGATCAGGCCTTAAAAATAAAAAATAAAAACATTATTTCTGTCATTCTCTTCCAACATCTTTTGATTCCTGGAAAGCAAAGAACCATATGGCCACAGGCACTGAAGTAAAAGGGTTTTTCAGATTCTGCATCAAAAAGATGACTGTAGCACGACAATAATTAGTTGTGTCAGTAACAATAGAGTACAGCCTTTGTCCCCTGCTGTCAAGACCTCTTTTGATTGGATTGATGTAAAACATGAAGACAGTTCTTCAGACATAAAAATATGATGAAGAATTGAAGAATGGAGGACCTTCTTAACTCTAAGTTGCATATCAGAATGCATATTTTGCTCTGCTAAAAATATACGCCGTCAACAGAGCAAAGAGGTTTCCATCTGCCCACCACCCAGCTTTGCTGAAGGGTGGCGCAACACCTTTTATAGACTGCATGCTCATGTATATAAAAGCAGACAACATCAAAATCATTATGGGACACATGAACTTTGATATTTAAAAGAAAACCTAAAAATGAAATGAGTACCTGTAAGAAGCTATAAATTAGCAAATTAAACCAAATAATAAGAATACTATCAGATTGCTTTTACACTAACTCACAAGATAGTGATTTTATGTGCCTTTGACAAAATGAGAAAGGGAGGAATAACCTTTCTAGAAACTGTTACAGAATCCTGACCCACACGGAAAAAAAACAAAACAAACACACACATACACACACAAAAAGTTGCTTTGGACAGGAAGGAGCAGAACAGCATTTTTCTTTAAAACAGTCTAATTCCAATCACTAAAACACTGTGAGCCCTTTGGAAGGCTTATTGATAATTAGAAGAAAGATGCGAGTATGATAGGATTATTCAAATGGGAAGAAGAAAAACCTCCTGAGATCTTTCCTTTTCATTCTTTTCAAGAAGTGTGGCATGCCAGCAAGCTGAGCAGATATGCAAAACTGCAGCTGTTGTGATAAACATAAATCCCAGGTATTAGCAGAAGCCTCTACCTTGAGTAAATTATTTAATTGCTCATATGCTTTGATGTGTTTTGGGAGACAGCACACAACACGCCTGGAATATGCAGCCGGTATATTGTGGTTCTTACATGCCATGTCCAAGAATGTCTTCCCCTAATTAAAAAATTAAGGTCAAAAAGCACAAGATGACACATGTCTTCATTGCAGGGCAAGCATATTCAGACCAAAATGGTAATCTGGATTTGAAATCATAATTATTTTCATGGCTGACTTTCCTATTCAAATAAAAATGTGATTTAACATTTTAAATGTTATAAACGGCCAAAAGAACTAAATGAACAGAGTTGTATTTACAGAGACTGATTTATTCAGTCTTTTTCATTATAATTTGGAATTAGATTGAAATAACTGACCTCTTTAGATGCCTATGTTCTCACACATCTGATCTCTTCTGATCTCTCAGAATCAGGATAATGTGTTTTTTTTAAATCGGAGGCCAAAAGATAGCATTCAGTAGACACAGCTACAGATACAATCTATATACCCAGAACAGTATATAGCACAGCTCTTTCCATCCCAGAATGTTATCACTTCTTCTATTTAAAAATATTCCCAATATTCTTCTGCATATAGGCATCAAATACTTATGAAAATATTAATGAACTAATGATTATAGTCATCTCTCCAGCCTCAGAGAGGAAGTGGGCATTATGATACCAAAGCTAATAGAAAACCAACAGAAAAAATAAGATAGAATGGATACTGAGAGACAGAACCAGACCAGATACCACCTTACATTTTTCCAAAGGAGCCAGACAAGGCCTGGTATGGCTGGTACTCAACAGGAGATACAAAACCCAGGTCGAATCTAGCTCCTATAGAGCCAGTGCTCTGTGTGCTTGGCAGCACGCTAAGCAGAGCAAGATGCAGGGGGCCTGAGCTAGACCTGCATGCCAGCAGCCAGGATGCACGCAGCGGTGACCACACACCTCCCGAAGCATCTGTGCTGCTTCCTCAGCAGCTGCCCGAGGAGCCGCCGGGGCTGCACCTCCGGTCCGTGCCTGAACGGGACCTCAGCTGCCCACGGTAGCGCCGCAGCACCTGCCCCTACACCGGCTTCACAAGCCGCCTACTGCCCAAACAAAAGACCCAAGGATATCTGAGAGTTGTCTGCATTCAGCAAAAGCTTTCCTGGCAGTCCGAAAGGCACTGACTAAACAAACATCCAATCCTGGATATTTGCATTAAAAACAATTGACTTTTACGACAGGTTACTTTTCCAAAGTCAGTGAAATGATTATTTCAGGACAGAAGGTGCAGAATACAGTGTAACACTTCTGAAAGGAAAATAACAAGCAATACTATCAAAAGGAAAAAATCCTTGTTCCCTATTAACCTCCCTTCCAATAACTACAAAAATACTGTGGGATTCGTTCTCGCAGTCTAAGGCACTCAGTGCATTCTACCAACGTCCGCTGAGTCTACTGTTCACCCTGGCAGTTAGGTGTTATTATAAACACCTCCATTTCCAGAGTAGGAAATAGAAGCACATAAAGATTAAAAGTCCGACACAATGCCATTGCAGTCACTGGAAAAGAATTCAAAAGGCGTTGGATGAGAGCCTAAGCGACTGCCCAAGGTTGTAAGGAAGCCCATGGCAGAGCTCTGAATACAGATCTTTTGTTCCCAGGCTAATGCAATAGTTGCCTGTTTTCTATTCAAGCAGAATTTGGCTGTGATTAATGCAGGGTGTTTAATGACCCCAAGAGGCCGTTGCATCAATTCCACCTCCTCTGACTGGCCACACTTACAGGGGCTCAGTCTTGTGGAATATCGATACTAACCTTCAGTTTAGCACGAGCTGGGAAAACCCTTCAGTCCTGCCTTGTTCTCCACGGTAGATTCCCACCTACTACTCTGTTGGGATAGGCTGCATTTAATGCAAGGGATTTGCCAAGGTCAAAGCCCAGGACAGGGAGCATTTCTTCAGGAACTGCAAGCACATCTCTGGCCTCAGAACACCATTTCAGCTCTGAGACTTACTGTAGTATTATTTGGTTTCCTTTCTAAGTAAGTTTGCGCTAACTTTTCTATAAATATATACAGTGAAACAAAATATGGGCTTGCTGGTATTACTGGAAACAGGCTTTCCAATAGCTTCTGAGAAGCTATTTCTAGAGAAGATGCTATTCACACACTGCTTATTTACACACTCCAAATGCCAGGATTTGATCTTTACTATATGGGCTTCTGCTGAGAATTTTTAATGCCTGGGTTGATTCCGATATCACTAAGATCACCGTAGGTCATAAGCCACTGCCAAGAAACAAACCAGTACAAATCTGTTCCAAATGCGTACAGCAAGTCAAGACACTGCCATGCTAATTAAATGGACTAGAGGCCTGCTCATTTCTAGAAGACCTGCTGAAGGAAGTCCCCAGAGCAGCTACTGTTTGCACAAATCTCCTGGCTGCTTCTGGAAGGGCAGATCCGTGATGCTGCCCAGAGACCCACTGATGGACCCCGGAGGCTGTGCACATGCCAGACCTTCCCCCCAGCCGCAGAAGAGGCAGAGCCAGTCTTGTAAGGATGCACCTGGGACGCCCAGCACAGCCTGCTGATGCACAAGCAGGTAGTTTTTTCTGACTTCATCAAAAGCACGGAATCTCATGAACTAAGAAAGTAAGAATTTCTCTATCCGAATGTACATACAGAATCCACGTCAACAAGAATATACAGACTATAAGAAAAACTGATAGATGTAACAATGAATACAAAGTATAAGAGTACAGGAAATACCATGCTTCTAATGGTACAGAAAAACAGCTTATATCTTTATTTGAGAAAACACAAACAGTCACTCCAAGAGAGAGTTTTTAGAATTGCTTCTCCCTGCCTCGTGGAAAAGAATATATGGGTTTCTTTAACTTGGTCAGTAACCTTAGCAATCACCTTATCACATCTATTTCCCTTTCAGATTGTGTTTTAGCAGTTTATTATTCGCATCAAATATGGAGAATTTTGAAACTGTAAAAGCCTCTTTTTCCTTTAAGATCACACTCCCTAGAGGCTGCTCAATTATTTAAAATTTTATTCCTTCAATATATACTAAAAGAAAAAAGCACCCCCACAATCTGACAGATAAAGCCACCAGAAAATAATTCTCCAGTGACAATTCTCCATGTTCCCAAAAGAAATCCAACTTCAACTAAAATTTGAATAATGCAAGCAGGAAGGAGCTGGAAATGTACATTAATGAATAATTGTTCAATTCATGTAAGAGGGAACATTCTGCACTAGCAATGACAGCTGCACCAGAATGATAAAAGAGTAGGGCAGACTACAAAATAGTGGTACTCTCTGACCAAAGTCAGCATGCAGGACACGTTTTTAACTCGCACCTTAAAGGTCTTCAGCCGACCTTCTTAACCAGCATCCTTCACCTAGCACCTCAATATGACCTATCTGGTCAAGGTCAAGGTGAAGGTCAACCAACCTTTTCGTTCAAGGCCTTTGTACGAGTAGCCATGAGCCGTGAAAAGTGGCCCGATTTGCAATGATAATGAGGAAAACTACAATTCCCACTGAAATCAAGATGAAATCTCCATGATATTTAAGGCAGAGCCAAAGTGCTCAGCACCAGAGTAGGCTGGAATACAAGAACTGCTATTTGCAAAAAGTCAAAGGTCTTCTCCCATACGAGTCATCTACTTAGGAAAACACACTCTAGACCCCTGCTCTAGGGTCCTTGCCATTTGGCTAGAGTCAGTCAAGCTGACCAAATAAATGTTTCATCAAAAGAAGCCCCACTCCAAAACTGCCAATTTCTGGTTGCTGATGGTGCTCAAGTTTCTGCCCTGAGTCATGCAGGGAAATTACTGAGACATTTTCAATCAGTTCAGCACCTCCAAAAAATCAGACTGAATATCTGAATTTAAGAAATTGGAAACAGCTTACAGGGACCTGGGGCTCTGTACTCATTTAAAATATTTCCATTAGGCATTTACTTGTGTTTTTAAAATCTAAGACACACAGAAGGAAAGTACTTACAGAAGAAAGTTTGTCTGTGACATCAAAGAGGATAAATCCTATTACTACAAGAGTAGTAATTCTCTGCGATATAAATATGACGTTTGAGGCTTCATTGTGCTAGGAACAACGAAAGACTTCAACCTATCTTTTCCAGACTGGCCAGCCCCTGAAGATTTGCCAGGGCATGAGAGGTCACTAGCCTTCAGACCTCTCACTGACACCTTTTTGCTGTATTTTGGCCTCCCACTGTGGCACAAATAACTATGGTTTCTTTCTAGCTGCTAAATAGACCAAGTTTAGAGCACAGCTGGATCAGCACAGAGGGGATGTTAACATCCAGCAGTCAGGTGGAAGAGGAGACGTACAGAAAGGGAAGGTCTTAAATGGCAGTCTGCAAAAGGAATAATAATTTGAAACTACAGAGTGCAGTACAAACGTGCAGTAACAAACAAAAATCAGATGACTAAAGCTACCACATTCCTGGCCATCCTCTATATCAGCCAGATCAGCCTCTAGGATCAGCCACCTGACAGCTGATCCTGACCCAGGACACAGGCATCTATCTGATCTGCTAGCCAATCAGCTCCACAGCATGCCTCATGCCAAATTCACGTCTAACCTCCAAATGCAAGAGGAGGCAAAAAAAGTGAAACAACTTGCCCAGGTAATACAGCGACCTCCAGTCAGAGCTTGCAAAACAACCACAATATTCCAAGAACCCCAGGTGAAGTGCCGTGATTTATCTAGCGACACTGACTTTCCCAGGTGCTAATCGCAATGCATATCGTAGAAGAGTCCATCTCTACAAAGCTTGCCAACCCTGGACAGAAAACTGTCTCGTTTGCATAGTGGCTTGGGGGAAAACAATGTCCTTATAAGCCAGTGACTTACAGAACAGTCAGAAAAAACTGAAGCGATGCATATACATACTTACAGATTGCACATGTCAATTCTGGGAGGAGATAATGGCAGTAGTTGAAGTAGGAGCTTTACACCATTCTTCCATCCTTCATCTCTCTCAAATTCACAGAAAAGATAGGTACATTCATCCGCTGAGAACTGGTAGAAAGCATGAGTGTCTTGAAAATACAGTTGTCTGTCCACTGTTTGAAAAATAATAACATTAGATATCCTTTAACCCTTTACCATGCTCTTTGTCCCCACTGCATTTTCTATTGCACCTGACCTTAATCCTGAGTTGCACCCTCATACAGGGCAAAAGGATCACAAACTCAGATTTGCACAGAAGCAGTCCTGTCCTCTATAACTCCAAACAGTGCAACCCAAAAACCTCAGTTTGAAGGTCTCCAGGCTCCTGAGATTCAAGCACTAATACTGCCGAGTATTTCTTCGGCAGCAGAGTTTGGAATTAGGGGATATGGCTGGAAAAGAAAAAACCTTTTACTTGACAGATTTCTGAGCCTCAATTTGCATCTTCCAATCTGTTCCAGGCTTTAGCGAACAAAGATCAGTAACGAGGAAGAAAAGGATACACCAAGGTAAAAAACAACAACAAAAGGTTTCTAGGTTACAAACAGAGAAAAAATAGTTTCATGACTAATATTCTTTTCACATTATAAATTCACCATTTTTAAAGCCATTAAGCTATTGTTCAGCACACCGTTATCTCAGCTTCGGCTGGAAGGCAGGAACATTGGCTCTGAGGAAGAAATCTGGGTAAGGGAATGTGGCAATACAACAGCTGTGGTCTTCCCTGGCAGAACTGGGACTGAATGACAAGTCCCAAAGCTAAAAGTACAGGCTCCTACTGGTGGAGTCATCCAACCCTTGCTGAGGCTGCTTTATCAGAAATTATGGCAGTGTACTTGGAGCAGAAGAAAACCTTTAAGTATGCTCATTGTCACCTTGCGTAAGTAGAAGTTTTCCACAACACCTCACCTTGCTGCAAGGAGGAAAGGTAAGTGCCCAGCACAGACCTCAGGGCTGGATACGCACTGAGTTAAGCTACCAGAGTAGTCCCAGCTATGACTGGGACTGGACTGTAAAGTCCAGCAGAAGTCCAGAGGTTGGTTACCAGTACGATTACCACCAACCACGTAGTCTGGACCAAACCCGTGAATTTTGGGAAGAAGGAGGGGACGGCTAGAGAGAATCTGGCATCACAACATTCTCAAGGAGCTGAATGCCTCTCTCAATCCATTGTATTCTAAAATTATAGAAAACAGAAAGAAATGGCAAATCACTAATTGCTAGAGAAGTCATCTGGTGAATCCAGGATCTGCAAGGACTAAACAGCTGCTGTCTTGTGGAAAACCTACAAGAGCTTCAGGAGAAAGAAATAGGCTGGAATAGATACACACAGAGTCTGCAACTTGGCAATAGGCAATTACATTTGCAAAGGCAAAAAAAAGGAAATTGTCTCTAAAAATGACTCATCTTTGGCATTTATGAAATGAAAGATCACAGACATAAGCCTAAGGAACAGAGAGTAAAATAAACAATTGCCTAAGTAAAAATGAAACAATCAGCACTTTTTTACTTTCTCTCCTATCTCTTCCATCAAAAATGTAACTCTCATCCTATTCGGGAAGAAACTGACAACCTTCCTTGTGCTAGAAGTCCTACCAACACTGACCTGACAACACAATTCCCATATCCAGAAGAAGCTGCCACACGCCCACTGCTGTAGATCGGCACTTAACAAAAGGGCAGTGCTCCAGAAGCCAGTCTACCAGTTCCGATCCAACACAGCTTCTCCTGAAAAAGTGCAAAACAGCACTTCTTACACTACAGTAAGGTTAATATGCTATTTAATGATATGGAGTTAAATTTTAAGTCATCAAGGGGAATCCTTTGGTCATCAAAGCTAAGCCTTTGTCTCAAGCACTGTTTTTTGTCATCGTCTTCATTTCAAAGAGGAAAGCGTTCTGGAGAATCTCAGTGGGACATCCCTAGTAACAACAAGGGAATTCAGTGCTAGATCAGTAAGTTCCTTTACATACCTAATTTGCATGGCATATTTTACAGTATATAATATTTTTATTAATTTGTGCTGCATGCACTCATCCAAAGATGTATAAAACTAAATAAAATCCAACTTTTTGGATTTTATTTCCTTTCTAGGAGTAAGCACAAGCAGTACAGCTACACAATATAAGTGTAATACCTCGAGTGTTGCTCTAGGATGTACTTCATCTTGCACATTATTGGTAAACCTCTTTCTTTAATTCATCAAAACCAGAATTCATGCCTCTTTCTCATATACAGATATGAATGAATGGTGCTTTTATAGAGACCTGTGCGCTTTGGCATGATTGAAAATAGGGGGAAGCATATATGCTGTAATGTAAAACAAATGGATACATTTCATTACAGAAACATTCTGCAACTTATGTGCAAAAGCACTGTGTAACTAAAACCTGGAGCCCAGTTACTCTCTCTGACTCCAGACCAGGGTTGAATTTAGCACTCTGTTCAACAAAAGAATAAACATAATTGTATATGAAATCATAAGCCGTTAAATTAATGGACATATACTCAGAGTGCTGCTGCTTTCTGACAACTGATAGAATAACGTAAGAAGTAATATTAAAATACATGAGATTTTAAGGAATTTTCTGAAAAAGCATTTTAGATGCTTAGGAAACACAGACAAAACCCCACTCTTTGCATTTACTGTTCAGAGACAAATGCAAACAAAAACCCGTCCAGTTGATTAAAGTAAACGATCTTGGCTTACCTGCAAATCCCAGTAAGGTACACCCTGTCTTTAATCAGGTCAGAAGCTTGTAGTGTAAAAATATTCCTGAGAGCTCTCCCAGCACAGGAGGAACTTTCTCCATATATCTAAATGAAAAGAGAAATTGAAAATTGTGACAAACAGGGATTTTATTCCCACAGTAGTAGATTACCTCACTCCTGTACGCTCCCTCCCTCTGAGCAATGCCTTCTCCCCTGCTAAATAACAAGCAAACACTCCAGGCCTCACAGCAAAAGCATCCCGATGTCTGCGATACCCAGTCTTATCACAGGTTGCATGTGCCCCACGGACTGGTCTAGTTTTAGGTTTGCTGCCTTAGAAAAATGGAGATTTTACTACCTGTTGGTTTTACATTTGAGCACTAGATAAACACAAATTAAATCAACTGTTATTCTAGCAAAGCAAAAAGATCATATTACCATTGCAAAAATAGAAATACAGTAAAAAAGAAACATCATTCTGTATGTATTTTAGTTAGTTTAAAACAAGCCATAAGCATACTGAGATGCTATTTCACAATTTTTCCTTGTAGTTTAGAAACTGTGGAGGTATTCTCTGGTAGCTGCAGGTTGGTTTGTCTATACCCTGCCACAAGGATGCCGTCCTTCAGAAGGGACACACCTCTTAGGTCCCTCATGCCGGACTCATACCTTGCACCTTAAAGCTGCAAATGAGTCTTTCAAACCAGGACTTAACTCCATCTTCCATATACATGTGTTCTACCTGGACTCTGGGTATTACTCCTTATGGACAAATTTAACTCAAACTTCTCTTAGGATGTTTCCTCACAGTCCCAACAGAGGTATAGGTAATACAAATAACTAACTTGAAAGAAAAAGAAAGCCTTGCTTTCATAGTTTGTGGTTCCTATGTTTCGCAGTCTTTCAAGAAACACAAAATAAACTCGAGACAGTAAAGCCTTGAGAGATGCAAAAACAGAGCTCTCAACTACAAAACATTGCAAAACTAAGTTAAACTGTTATGAGAATAGTTTAAATGGCTCTGAAGTAAGTGTACATCGAGATTTAATACAATTTAGTTAAGTAAATTCAGTAATAGAAATAAGCAGTTTCCAACAGGCGCAAACTATAACGTTAACTGGATTTACCTGCAGGCCACATTCATAAATGTCTTCAAAGCTATGATTAAGAGGCTGAAGCAAAACAAAAAGATTCCTAATCTGCTGTTTTATAAAATGGAATTTAAGTGTGACAAGTACCTTGTTTGAAGGAGTTTCCAAATACGGATTTGAAATTCTTCTGGACAGGGTCTGTAAGACAGTTTGGTATAGATTTAGTTTTGTTCTTAACAACAAAAAAAAGTAGCACAATGTAGGTTTTCTAGCTATTGGAATCTGAAAAAAAGCATTTATCAAATCGTCTGAGTAGTATATCTGAAGTCTCCAAATAAGATTTCTTCACATCAGGAAAAAAAAAATCTTATTAAACTTGGTCCTATATTGTTTACTACATTTTTTCTGGATCTGCAAAAGGCAGTGAGTAGTAAGGTGGTAAATTCCGTAGATAGCACACAATTGATTGTTTGGATCAGTAAGGACCAGAAATGACAGTGGAGCATTTCAAGAGAAACCTAAAAAAGTTAGGTGAAAAGACAGTATCCAGACGCACTCAGCATTACAAGCAGCATGTCTTAGAGCAGGGAATATGTAATTGCACAGGCTCTTATACCCTTTTAAACAAACTCTATCAGTTCTGTACACACACCTCAGCGTCACAGAGTACTTCCTAAGGAAGACCACTCTTACAAATGAAATTCTGAATTGTAGAAAAATAAAATAGGTATTAGAATAAATGAGGAATAACACAGTGAATAACAGGGGGGTAGTACTGCTCTAATGAAGACCAGCAGTATCTCTGGCTCACCACACACTGCACTGGTCACGGCATCTCCAAAATGATGTTCGAAAGTTAGAGGGGATTCACACAATAATAGTAATAGGAAGAACAAAGGATTTGGATGAGGAGGAGGAGAGACGGAGAAGATTGTGACCTTACATTATATAATGTAAGTATACAAAATAATGAATGGCAGAGAGAAAGACAGAATTTCTATTTTCTGTTTCATATTTTCTGTTTCTGAGAATAAGAGATCATTTAAAGAGGTTTCATATTAGAAGAGATGAAAGGGAAAATGACATAACTCTTCACTGCAGGGAAATGCAAATGCCAAAACCTTACTGATGTTCAATAAAGACTGTGGTTTTAGTTACAAAAGGAACAACGGGCTAGAATTCCGAAAGGCAAATAGAGACAGGATAAAACCATACAAGACTCAGGGTAGTCCATGTTTCCTTACCATGATATTTCCATATCTTGTCAGTGTTAAAAGACAAGAAGATATCATCTATTCGGATGCTTATTGGCACCTTCTATCTTACTACAAGCCATACAACACACAAATAAATACTGCCTAAAAGAAGTCTGGAATTGAAATAGAAAAAATCATGCAGGTGCTCTGGCAGCACAACAGGAGGACCGTGTGGTGCTTGCTCATGTGAATCCTCGTTACAGGCAACATAATTCATTCCTTGCTTCAAGAAGGATCCAATTCACACCTGGCATATTGTAATCATTAAAAAAAAAATCATCCTTCACACACTGCAAGAATTACAGAATCTGTATTTCAGTAACACCACCTGCTTCCCCCCCACCTCCATACTCTTGTTCCTGTATTTTCAAGAACAGGAGGGAAAGGACGACGAAGCATGGAAGTATCTAACACTGTTTACACCTCCATGCTCATCACAAATGTTAGTGCAGTTCCATGTTGCACATGTAACCGTAGCTCAGTATGGAAATACTATAATGCAAGAGCTTCACTCCCTTCACCCATGCCCAGCAGACATGTCCCGAAAACATGACACTGCTTCCACTCCCACTTCTAGCAGGCACGGCATTAACACCTTGGTCTGCGGCAGCCTTTCGCAGAGACGCTTCCCTTGGTTTGTTTCCAAGTCTTTCATTCAACAAGCTTCACTTACTACAGCAGCACAGCCCAAGTTCGTAAGCTGATTTCCCCCCTCACTGCTTAATTCCCTGGCTGTTGTAACAGCGTTCCCATCAGCAAGCTCATTGCAGCAATGCTACAGCAAACTGCAACCCCTCGTCCGGGCCGTTTCGGTGTTTCAGAGGAAACACCTCCAGTAGGGGAACCAGGGCTACCAAGAGAGCAGTTGGGATAGGGGGACATCAGACCCACCGGCCCCACTGCTGTCCTGCCCCTCACCTCCCTGTTCCTCCCCTGTGCCAGCGCCAGGCTCATCCCATCCCAATCCCAGGGAGCTCACCATGCGGAAAGCATTGCTCTTCGGGCAGGGTTATTCTTCTCATGGCTCAGCTCCCCGGATGGCTCACTCAGACGGTGAGCGCATGCTCCCACCACTTGCTTTGTGTCCCCCGTGCTGCTAGTCAGACCCCTCTGTGAGCCAACTTAACCCACTACAGAGGCAGCAAAACAAACTCAGTAAAAAGAATCAAAAAATGTTGTGGCATTTCAGTAAGTTAAATTGGCTCTCAAAGGGTCCGGTGAGCTCCAGAGCCAGCGTAAGGGAAAAGGGCCAGATAACACACTCGGGAGAAAGGAGGACGGGAAAGGAGGACAGAGGAGGGAACCAGAAGCAAAACCTCCCTTGTCTGCCAGCAGGGAGCCAGAGCAGTGCAGCAAAAGGGAAGACGCCACGTAACAGGATCATCGCACCCCTTGGGTACTCTGGGCACAGCACTTGCCCACTAACATTTCATCTTGGCCTGCTGTTGCTCTCTAAGGGATTAATTTCAGCTGAACTTGGTACCCTCATACTTAGGCTTCTTGAAACAGATACAGAGCAGGGACTAGGTCCAAATACCCAACTCTCCAAAGATTACTGTCTCTTAACCCACTAAGATAACTAGTCTTGCTTAGGTAGAACATCTCAGTGGACATTAATTACATCCTATGAAGTCAAAAAGCACCAAGCAGTAAAACTCTGGCAAGCAGGGCTATACTAATAGTTTCAAAGTTTCTCATCAGCTTTCAAGATGAAGCATTTTATTTGACTGCTCTTACTGAAAATATCCCACAACAATATACACACACACACACACACACACACACACACACACGAAAAGAAGGAGGAGGTTTATAAAAACACAGAGGAAATGGTAGTAATGGCAGCATCCCCTTTTCTCCACATTACAGAAGACCTAGGTCTAATTCCCACTTCAGGAGAATCAAACTCCTATTGCCCACTTTGGAGGGTACTCTGCTGTCAGATGGTGGCTGGGGCTATGAATTACTTCCAAGGGGTCTGCAAAAGGTCACTCCAGCTGAAAACTCGTAAAGCAAAAAATTTTTCTAGTCCATCCTTCAGACCCCACAGTATGAGCTCTGATGAAGGGAGGAGGGTAGGAATTCACAGCCCTGAAAGGAGAGAGAGAAAGACAGGATGACCGCTTCTTTGGGTAGCGGCCTGGACCCAAATCAGCTTAGAGGAAGCACGAAACCACAGCCTAAGAAAAGTACATTTCTTCATGCCAAGCAGGAACCTATATATGCGAAACTTCTCCACCTATAAGAAGATGGAAAATGCACAGAAGAGCTGGAAGGGAAGGACGGGAAGGACAGGAAGGTGAGACTGGAGAAAGAAAGGTGTCCATATCAAGTACAACTTTCCAGGCACTGCCACCCCGGCTGCCTCAGTGCCTCTTTGCCAGCTTGAAGAGAAGCTCTGCTGAATCACTTGCTGGGCCACTACGGTAATTGCCTCTGCACTTACTACAAACTGGTTAATGTTCTAATCAAGGGATAACGATATTACAAAGCATGTTTTCACTCACACCTTTTGGAGATTTGAATTTTCTCCTTTTAGCACTTTTAGAAGTTTTTAGGCTTGGGATTTTGGTTTGGCCTCACCTCTACTTAGTACGCCTTTGCCTCTGAGTTGCCTGTGCTTTGCGTCCTCCCAAAGCCGCTATTCCTGCCTTTGCCAGCAGTGCAGGCCCAGGAGCGTCAGCAAAGCTCCATACATCTGCCAGCAATTTAATCATTATGCTCTGAAAAAAAAACAAAGCTGCAGCGCTTAGAGCTCCAGTTCAACAAGTGCTCTTCTCAGCTGGGATTTAGTACAGTGGTAGCAGCCAGCAACCAATTCGTACCAATTTCAAATACAGGATTCAAATGTTTTGCCTCTCTTAAAAGAAATTCTGATACTGCTGTGCAATTAGCAAGAAATGAAAGCTTTGGCAAAAATAGGTAAGTAAGGATTTTTTTTTTCTACATTAAGAATGTAACAGGTTTATTAAAAGGAATAGGGGAATTTATTTTAAATCTGAGAAAGAAAAAAAGGCAGAAACAGGGCTCTTCCCATCCCGCAAACTGTTTAAGCTTCCATTATATTCTAAGTTTTTCAAATAACAAGGTTTTTATGTTATCAAAAATGGTACATGAGGCTACATTAAGAGTTTGTAATGAGCAATCAAACTTTATCTGTTGTTAGTTTACAACATATATTTGTTTGTTTGATCGGGGCTTAATTTTCAAACATGCCCACAATCAACTTCACACCGACAAGCAGTTCCAGAGAAACTTTTTGTGTATAAATATAAGAAAATAAGCATTCATAGTTTCAAGGCACTACTGCTACGTCCCTAAAGACTTTAATATGGCCTTTGTGCATTCGAAATTGGATTACGCAGTACGCTTATAATTAAACAAATGCTTCAGCACTGCGCTGCATCAGGATT